ATACATATACATACATATACACATACATATACATACATATATGTATATATGAATTTGTATGTAATGTATGAATATAATATGCAAGTTTCACTTTTTAAATGGAATTACTGAAATAAATCTACTTTTTCATGATATTCTAATTTTATGACCAGCACCTGTATATATTATTTACTAACCCAGAAAAAGAAAAAAAAGTATACATAGTGTGCCATGTGGAAAAGTCTGAAACCAATGCTGGTAAATTTCTTAATCTTGATGTTAAACAGTGAGAGTTTTGCAAAAACAAACATTTGTCATGACAGTGCACATTAAGGAACAATGGTCCAGTGATGTTATTTTCTTTTCAGGGTCACTCCACTGACCTTCCCTTAGAGCTGACCTGCAATGGTCAGTCACAGAGGGGCAGGTCCATTTCCACCATCCAGTTGGTGAGTCTCATCACAACTCTCACAAATCTGCTATTTTGTTATAGATTTTATGCAGAAAAATATTTTGTCSCATCATCATCCCTTCTATTTATATTGTGATTATGGGGGATGTGGGACAAGGCAGCCCTTAGATATTTCAGAAAACTATCAAAACACAAATCAATTACAGAGAAAAAAAACATTAAAACTCTTATTTCTACAAAACTATAAAATCTATGTGATACTGATATTTAATCCTTCATGAATATAACAATAGTTATATAACCTTACAAGTGAAGAGGTGTGGGAGGGAACAAAAAACAAAACATGTAGGATGTTGGAGAATGAGTAAAATACTTTTTTTTTTCAGAAAGCTTGTGTTGTRAATGCATCTGAATGTTTATAAAGTAGACCTTTTGCAGACAGTTCACAAAGAGCACAATCCTCACTTCAAAAACAAGCTTTTAGTCTTCAGACATGGACCTTGGTTTATTGTGCTTTTTTTCGAGCTTACTATGTGTAAATGTGGCAGCAAAGATTTAAATCAACWTTTTTTATATTATTCCTGACAAATTCAAAAGCAGAAATATTCTAGAATCGTATGAAGCAAATATACCTTGGCTTCCTGACTTATCTCTTAAGACTAAATCTAATTTTTGAATCTGAACCTAAATTACAGATGTTTAAGAACACAGACACAGCTTCCTACAGCTACAGTAGACAGCTGTAAACTGGACAACAGGATCAGACCACAAACCAATCTCCAACCACGTCTCTGACAAAGTAAATAAGAATTTTATAATAAAAAAAATATTTGGATGTTTTGTCATGTTGAGTACATGTTGCCACTCAATCTTGGACTATAACTTTTCTGTTTGTTGAAACATATTCCACTTTTTGGAAACTTAAAAAAATACAAGTTGACCCCATTTAAAAGCCTGACTATGTTCAAATTATATATTTTTATTCCAACATGTGAACCTTTTAGAAATATTTAGAGCTTCAAATAAGGTGTTGATGCAAAGATCAAATGTAGGAGATATTTGTCAAAGCTGCCCAATTATTGGAAATAATGAAAAAGCATTTTTTTCTTTTTAGCTGCAAGATGAGCGAAAGTTTTGCTGACTTAGTTTGTCAGAATATTAATCTTGTAACAAGGAATCATTTGTTTTAGATATTATGTGTTGATTGTACTCGCTGTGCTCAGATGTGTAGTATTTTTGAGAACTCACTTCAGGGATGTTTTAATAATGTGGTATACGCATATTTATTAAAAAATGTATTTTATTGCAGGGAGCAGTGGAAGAGTTAGAATGCACAGAAATACCTCATGAACATACAAACAGGAGCTGTCCACATGAGAGTACGCAGAACACAGTGAGCTTGAAACGAGCTGCACAGCTTTTGTAATTAATTGTCTGCAAAGACAAARCAATTTTCTCATCTCTGAGGATGAACTTTAATGACGCAGCCTCTCTTTGTCTTTCCAGAACAAGCAGTTCCTCTGCTGGCAGTGATGATAATTGTGGGAGACAGYATTCACAATTTTGTTGATGGCTTGGTTGTCGGTGCAGCTTTTTCTTCTTCAGCTGAGACTGGCATGGCAACCACTGTGGCCATCCTGTGCCATGAGATCCCACATGAGATGGGTGAGAGATCATCTGTTTGTTTTGTTTTGTAGCCTGAGGCCAGAAAGGTTTGTGCTTTAAGAAAATAAGGCTGTTTCTTTGACCTTTAGGGGACTTCGCAGTGTTGCTCAGCTCTGGACTCCCAGTAAAAACTGCGGTGCTGATGAACTTCCTCAGTGCCCTGACCGCCTTCATCGGCCTCTACATCGGACTTTTTGTTTCTTCTCAGATAGAAGTGCAGCAGTGGATCTTTTCTGTGACCGCAGGGATATTTCTCTATCTGTCTCTGGTGGAAATGGTAAGACACTGTCCGCATAGGATGAACTTGGTGATTTTTAAAGACAGTTGAGAAMTCTAAAGACAAACAATACTGATTAAATGACCAAACAGCCTGAATACTGAAAGTCCTGTTCATTTAAGTTGACTTCCTTATTTTTGCCAAATATTACCAAAAGGAGGTACTTCTAGGAGCAGGCGTCCTTCTTTTAGTTAAACTAATGAATGTTTTACTTCTTTTTCCCCCCCATGGTCAGCTTCCAGAGATGAGTCGAGTGAAGACGGACAGGCCGTGTCTTGTCTTTCTCCTGCAGAACCTGGGGCTCCTGACGGGTTGGACCTGCCTTCTGCTGCTCGCGTTCTTCGAACATGAACTCAAACTCTAAACGCAGCGTACATCTCCCACACAATACTTGATTGCCGTTTATTATCCGTGCTCTCCACAGATGCGTGTATTACTTTYTGCAGACAAATGAATGGACTGAATCACAAACTTATATCTGAAGAAAGTAAACTTCTCTTGCCTTTTGTTCTTAATGGTTTATATTTTTTCAGACAATTACAATATTGATATATGTAGATGATAGACATAAAACCATACTGGGAAACTGGGGCAGACAGTGAGTTACCTGCACAACAGGTGTTTACAGCCAATATATCTGATTAGAGAAATTATTTGCAACTATATCAAGCACATGCCACTGAATGAGAGGACACTTGTAACAATCCAACAGTCTACAGGTGCAAACGTATATTCTTTAAATCTATTCTTATTGGACAACAACATAAAAATTGCAAATGTTTTATTTCTTGTCTGAATTTGCTTTTAAACAAAGAAAATTTACTTTTAAAATGAAATTCTGATGGATTTTGTTGTCTATGTACACTTGGATTAAAAAAAATGAGTTGAACTTGGCGGCATTTGATAAATGGCAACAGCCTTAATGTGCATTGTCTTAATAAATGTACAATACAATTTACAGGGGTACTTCAGTGTTTCTTTAAAAAAATAACAAACAAAAGTTGTTCTTTTTTAATTTAACCTATATTTATTTATCAAAAAGAAAAAAATAAGTAAGTCCTCTGGATGGGTTCTTCTATAGTGAAACGTTTTGTCTCTCCTCCAAGAGACTTCTTCAGTCTGATGAGTTTCAGGTGAACTCAGCCTTATAAGCACTGCCTCCACCTGGACAAACAGGTTAGTCACATGCAAAAGAGGGTCATCGCCTAACAATAGGCTTGATTAGCTCTATTGTTCATAGAGGGTCATGTACCCCATCACCTGACTTGTTGGTTTAGACGTTGTCGTTCTTAGGTGTCGTGTTATGTGTATGTAATGAGTGCAGGCGGGGCTCGACGTCCCCTTGTTTTTGTCTTTTTTCCCCTCTTTTTGTTGATTATCATGGGTCCAGGTGGAGGCAGTGCTTATAAGGCTGAGTTCACCTGAAACTCATCAGACTGACGAAGTCTCTTGGACGAGAGACAAAGCGTTTCACTAAAGAAGAACCCATCCAGAGGACCTACTTATTTTTTTCTTTTTGATTTTTTCTACCTGGATTACTGAGATGCATCAGGACATTTTGAACTATGTTTATTTAGTTTTTCACAGCAGGATGACTGCATGTCAAAAAGCCTTTCCACTTTAAAGAAATATTGTTATCTATTAAGAAAAATAAATCATGTTTTAATATGTTATTAGTACTGGTCTATTGAAAAAACCAGAAGACAAAACTTCTTTGTCTGGCTTTCACAGCTTTCAGATATACAGTACGTAGCTATTTATAAAGGCCTGTTTTGAAAACCGATCCCCTCATCTCTGAGGTATTGTTCTTTGTTTTTGAGGTCTCTCTGTGATCCAATATGAGGGCATTTCCACCCACCTGTGCTACTTGTTCTCTTCATCCACCAACCTGGGTGACTAATGCTTGGTACTGTACAAGACAGAAACTCCGACCCACACAGTGCACACGCTCTTTAGCTGTTGAAGTGGGCCTGCAGAAGGAGGAGGAGGAGGAAGAAGAAGAGCATGATGAATGCACCACCACGACAACATAAACGAAACACAGAAAATATTTGTACATGAAATTGGATTTGCGGTACTGACACAGTGAGTGGGTTTCAGGGCTAGAGAGGATTTTCAATCAGCTCGCTGTGATTAAATTCTGGTGCTCTCAATAYGTTTGTGTATAATCTGAACAAACAGTTGTCGAGCATCTATCTCATTTGTGCTGGGGATTAGTTTTAGTGTTTAATTTGCACAGTGATTATGCTCGTTTTCCCATTCTGGGTTCTTTGTCAAACTGCGGCGTCAGTTCCATCGACACYGTCATGGGATTGTTTATCTATCATGTAAAAGAAAAAAGCTGACATTTGCTGTGACTTCCTGAAAAATGTTCAAACAATAGTAGGAAGGTTGCATTTTCTCTTATTCTAGCAAATTTGTTGTCATTTAAAAAAAAAAAGGCTAGCCCCTTTGGCGTTTCCAGGAAAGAATGGACCAAACTCGTTTGAGCACTAATCAGGTTTTTAGCAGCTAGAAGGCATTTTTGAGAACATGTGTGCCTCTTTTCTAGGCAGCTGCTGCCAGGATGGAGGAAGGAAGAGCTTTTATCTGGGGGGCATGTTGATGTGCACACGCTGACTATCCTCACTTTCTCAGCAGAGACCTGTCAGTACAAGAGTTCAGTTTGGAGGTCATCGGGCCAGCAGAACACACAAGTATGTGACAAAAAAGAAAGAACAGGAAACACACACACAAAACTATTTTCCTTTGATTCAAAAACACATCGCTAACAAAAATCCGAAGCACCTGTTACTCAAAACAACACTGAATCAGTTTAATAACAGCAAAACTCTTTTAAACAATCAGTGACATATCACACATCATATGCATAAAACTTTAATATTTTATAGAAAAAATGTTTGATTTTGCTGGTTTAACTAAGATAAATCTGCAAAAGAATTTAGACAAAAGCTGCCTATCCATTTTCATTGCTTCAAAATGACTAAATTTAAAATAATTGTGTCAATTTAAACAAGTAAAATAAAATTAACTACAAAACCATTTGTGTATAAGTGCTGATCTGCCACTACATAAAGTTACACAAACAAAACACATGAAGGAGTGAAGAAATGTATAAATAAATTCRTTAATAATCAATAGTAACTGGGGGCAATGATGACGCTACAGCTTATAGGATGCTTATCATGGGTTAACTTAATGATTTGTGTCGAATATCTTTTATTGTATACTTTTTTATTAGAATTTTTCAATTTGCTAAACTATTTGAACACTTTAAGACACAAGTCAGTGTAATGTGATACATGTAAAACAGAGGTATATATATATA